CGGCACAGAGCAAACAAAATGAACCAAGATATTGTACGTTGGGACGGTGCAATGCGGGTGGGAGATACCTGTTTGATCACAGTCATCTACTGAAATAAAACATGTACTACACTTTAGGGACTAATGATCTTATCAGTAGAGACGCCCGAGATCACTGATAAATCAATCAACAAAATTTGGTTGCGTAGAAAGCTAAATTTCCTTTCTGAACGAAACACCCTTACTGTTTTAAATAAATAGACATTAGTTACACTCAAGAAAAACCGTACTGAAATGTAATTACTAAGCATAAATATTGTCGTATACAAAAGACGTGTCATTTCAGGGGGAAAAACACGGAAGATTGTCGCTCACAGTATTATAATAAATAATTCCTTTCGTATTTTGTTTTCAGAAGGTTTGGTTTCCGAAATATGTTTTTGAAATAATCCAATTTTTATGGATTAGATAATCATTTAATTTTAGACATTCAGATTCGTAATTTTTATTACATTACATGGCACATACAATTACATATAATTTTATTATTATTTACTATATTAGTATTATACATAATGCACTTAAGCAGACACATCGGTCTGTTTAATGTCATGCCCTGTAATACGAATTTGACTTTCTGTACTTAAAACATACTATAATCCATTAAATTTAAACAGACGATCACAAAAATAACATTTTTTAATCAAAACATTCCAATTTTTTCGGACTTCACAAGAAATTTTTCCTCTTTACCGAACCTGTGCGTATTCCCATGACTACCAGCGCTGTTGTAGGCTAGGGAGACATTCACCAATCCGGAAAACGCACTGCAGTTTCTGAACTTTGATGGCCGCAGACGTTACTGCGCCGCATCGCACTATGATCATAAAAATAATCGCGTAGCAATGAAGCCTAATGATTCACATCTGAAAAATTTTGGCCCTTCTGCTAAGCCTCAATGACCAGCTTTAACGCAGCGAAACGCCAGACAATTTTACAACTTTTTTTCTCTCGTTTCTCCGCTACTAATACCTAAATGTTGACAATTCTACTTAACCATTGTTTTCCGCCTTCTGTGCCTTTGGCAGTGCCTTCACGCCTTGAGCTGAGTAGAAGCCCTTTTCATGCTTCGCGAATGGAGCAACGCGTCGAACCTGCGTGACACCGGACTTTCCCTCGACATCCTCATCGCGTTGACGGCCGTACTGCAGCTGGGTCCTCGCCGTTTCCTCTAATTCACTGCGGCCTTCACGGATCTCCCGCCAGGGAAACAAGTTGTGGATTCATTAGTCTACCACTAGTGACATGCGATATCTCTGCAAGCCTGACGCACATTGCGTTAACAGGTTGTGTTTGTTAGAGTTCGAAACAACGCAATGAACATAAATTTTAGCTTTAATGCGATTCCGCATTTGTACCTTTCAATAATGTTGGATCAAACAGTTCATCAGTACATTGCATAACTGAGCTGGAGAATGCAGAATCGCGTAAGAATCTC